CATGATTGCGCTTTCTTGCTTACCCTTGGCCTGCTACGTCTGTCCTTTGCTGCTCTGCTCTGCTCTGCTCTGCTCTACCGTCGTTCCCGCACCTACCTTCTGCCCAAAGCGACTCCACTCCGCCACCATCATGTCTATACACATCACTGTTGCCACGAAATTGCTCATCCTCTGATTATCGCGCGCGTTGCTTCCTACTCAATATACCAAAGATAAGCGCCTCACGGCACCAAAAGCTCGCTATTATTCTCCTTACAACACTCTTTTACTGTCAGGGTACGAGAGTAGGATTAATAAGGACATCTTTAGTCTAGTTCAGTCTAATTTAACTCTATCCACTCTCTACATCTTGCACGCGATGTGTGATGAAAACATGTCGGAAGCATGTTGCGAAGTAAATACACGCATCTTGTTGATGTATCTACTACTTCGCTAAGCTTCTGTCATGCTGACCCCCGATGTACATCTCATCGCCTCGTACTCATGTCCATGTAGTAGATGCGGTATCGCATACATCCAAACCATATCGCCGTGCCTCCTCTACAATTGATCTGTGACGGCATACGTGTGTCTTCTTGTACGCGTATCTGATATGCTGTGGTCTCCGATATCGATGATTGGAAGGCTATGCAAGATGAAGACCTAGCATGGAGATGTGGCATCTCAATCTATGTTGTATGGACTGCGATATAGAGGGCGGTCATGCTCGATAGAATGTCGTCGAAATGCTGATGTCTCGTCTCTGACACGTAAGTAGCATGTGTCGTTCACGTAGCGGCGTTGGCATTGGCGACAGGTGCTGGAGCAGGAGTAACGGTAGCTGGTGCAGTCGAAGCAGCATCGCCAGCACCCGCAGCGGGAACAGGACCAGCATGTGCGCCGCCTCTGGCACCTCCACGACCACCACGTCCTCCACGGGGCGCGAAGTTGCCACGAGCGCCGCCACGAGCAGGCCCGGTCGGTGGACCGTTGAAGCGAGGAGCTCTGGCCACCTTTTCTTTCCGTTCAAGAACCTGAACAGCGCCTTGGGCAATCTTGATGGGGCTGGCTGCCATGGCTTTCTTGAGACCATCGGGCTCGGAAAAGTCGACATAGGCGAAGCCCTTACGCTTGTCAATCTCGACTTTGTCAATGCCTCCAAAGGTCTTCATGACTTCTTCGATGAGGGGCTCGGTAATGCCCTGGCTGGGATTGGCATGCTTGAGGAACGCTTGCTTGCTCGTGGGCGCGGGTACGGGTTGGGCTGGTGCTGCTTTGGGGGCATTGTTGTGCGCCTGGGCGGGTCCCGCATCGGCCTTTGCTGGAGTAGAGTGCGACTGTGTAGGAGCAGGACTGTTTCTAGCAGCGGCAGGCTCAGTAGGTGGAGCTCGTGAGGCAGCTGGACCTTTGGGTGCCGTCGGAGTCTGAGCCTGAGGCTTCTTCAGGATTTGGGGCGCAGGGGTCTTCAGCGGCGTCTGGGGCTTGACATCGCTGGCGGTAGCCTTGTCGTTAGGCTTGTCGCCCTGGTTGGCCTTGAATGCGCGCCGTTCTGCACGAGTTGGGCGTTCCTTCCTGCTTGCCTGCGCATTCTTGTCCGGAGTTGCTGCTGCTGGTTGTGAAGCAGGCGACTCTTTGGCCTTTTCCTCGACTGCCTTGGTCTCTTTTGCTTGCGCATTGGACTCTGGCGCAGGCGTACCAACCTCGCGCTTCGTTCCACGTCGACGAGTTGGGGCAGGTCCTACACCGAGGTCACGCTGCAGCATCGACTTTGCGAGTGCGACGTTACCACGCTTGCGCTCCGGTGCTGGGCTGGCAGAGGCCTTGTCCGCCGAGGCCGAGGCGGATGATTTGGAGGACGACGCTTCCTTGTTAAGGATCTTGACAGCCTCCTTGGAGGCTTGAGCCTTGTCAGCCTTGCTTATACGACGATTCTTATCTCCCGAGTTGAGGGCGTTCTCTTTGCCTGGCTTGGCAAGTATCTTCTTCTCACCATCATCCTTGCCCTCTCCACGACCTCGATTTGCCTTTGCGCTCGGCTTCTCCCTGTTAGCCTTCTTTTCCCGGAGCGCTTCAATCAGAGGAGTGGTTTTGACCTTCTCCTTCTGACCTTCATTCTCAGCGGCCGGGGGCTTGGTGATGGGGTTGGTGAGGCTCTCGAGGAAGTCCTTGAATTCCTGATCCTGATCGATGGTGCCCTGGCGGTTGTCGTTCCTCCGACGGCCACCAGGCATCTTCGGGTAGGGAGCGTATTCGAGCGTAGGCGGGCCGACGAGGGCGGGGTCCTGCCATGACTTGGTGGCATCGTGGAAGGTGATTGCGCGCACGTGGTCGCCGAGGGCCTTGACGTGGTCCTGCTTGGTAACGTGGATGTATGCGCGCGCTGGCTTGGAGGGTTTGGCAGCACTGAGGGGGTCAATAGGCTGTCTCTAAAAGACAGAAAGGTGAGGAGTACTCAGTAGAAATCTTGCCCTTTCTGTAATTCATCCAATCGATCTTGCCAGCACCAAGCTTCCATTCATCGCCTAGAGCCTCTATGAACTCGGTCCTGGTAAGACCAGAAGGAAGTCGCCGACATATCAGCTTCAGGCGGGGTTGGGCGGCTTTGGGCCCGCGAGGTGACTGGGCCGGGGCGTTCTTCTGGAGAAGTGTGACTGGCAGGACGCCGTTGGGGTTATTTGGAGGGGCCATGAGAGCGCGATGATGCTCGTTTGTGCGTGCAGTCGGTATACTCGAGTAGATGTTTCTTCTCTATAGCCATCTATTAGTGATGGTTGTTTAACATACACAAACATGATATATACCGTGGTTGTAGTCGTATTCGAGAGCCTGTGCCGGGTGATTTTATCGCGCGTGTCGCTGGGCGGAAGTGAGATGGAGGAGGGAGCGCCAGTTTGTAGGTGAGGACATTGGAGGGATCACTCGAGAAGGCAGTACCAAACACGGCGATTGTTATGGTGAGAGTTGCGGCAATGACGCAGCGACAACGGGCGCGCCTTCACGAGACAGTGGGCGAGGGCAGGCGCAACGGCAAGCGCCGAGGGGCGGCAGCTGCCCCACTGGCGCCCGCGTCTCGACTACACCTCAACCACGCCGATATATCCTCAAGACGCCGAACCTCGCGCTGCCCACGACGCAGTCAATTGCCGCTGACTGCGCACACTTTCACTGCGACCCACGCTGACCCATGATACCCTATAGCCCATTCCTCAGCACCCCCATCGGCACACGACCCGCCTCCCTCCCGCCGCCATTGTCGCCTATCCCGACCTAAACGCACCGCATCGAGCTTCCCCTATTCATTCTGAGCTAGAGCACGATTGAAAGATGGGCAAAGATAGCGACGTACCACAGCCAGGGCCCGCGCGCCTCGCAAAGGGCGCAGGGCCGGATGAATGGCTGGAGCAGGCGAAGCAGTGCAAGTACCTGCCCGAGGCCGACATGAAGCGACTGTGTGAGATTGTCAAGGAGTGTCTGATGGAGGGTGAGTTAAACAATGCCACATGATCCACGCAAAGGAGGAGAAGCATGGCTATTGTGTGGCATGGTGTCTAAATCCATGTATAGGACTAACACATGTCTCCAGAATCCAACATTCAACCCGTACGAACACCCGTCACAGTATGCGGAGATATCCATGGCCAATTCTACGATCTGCTCGAGCTCTTCCGCGTCGCTGGCGGCATGCCCAACGACTCCCCTGCCGCGCCCCTCGCACCACCAGTCACATTACCAAGCACAATCAACCCCGCCGATCTCGAGCCTCCTACCAGCATAACAGACCCCAAGGTCAAGCGCAAGATGAAGAGAAGATTCCAGCGCGACCCAAACTACACTGGGCCAACAAGTCCTCCTGGCGGCGATGGCGATGAAGAGGGCGACGACGAAGAGGAGGAGGAGCGCGGCCGAAGCAGGAGCGTTCACGACAGACGGAGTCTTGGTTCGGCATCCGACGCAGACTCTACCAAGAACACAGTGGGTGGGAATGGCCAGCAGAACTTCATCTTCTTGGGTGACTTTGTCGACCGAGGATACTTCAGTCTGGAGACCTTTACCCTTCTCATGTGCTTGAAGGCGAAGTAGGTCAACAGGCACGCAGAACTACATTCACGGTACTAATTGAAACAGATTCCCTGACCGCGTCACTCTCGTCCGCGGAAACCACGAGTCGAGACAAATCACCCAAGTCTACGGTTTCTACGAGGAATGTCAGACCAAATACGGCAACGCTTCAGTATGGAAGGCCTGCTGCCAAGTCTTCGATTTCCTTGCCCTAGCCGCTATCGTCGACGGAAAGGTGCTCTGCGTACACGGCGGTCTGAGTCCGGAGATCAGAACACTAGACCAGATCCGCGTTGTCGCGCGAGCCCAAGAGATCCCACACGAAGGAGCCTTCTGCGATCTCGTATGGAGTGATCCGGAAGATGTCGACACGTGGGCTGTCTCACCCCGAGGAGCCGGCTGGCTGTTTGGAGACAAGGTGTCTTCCGAGGTATGCATTCATCCACGCTCGTCCATTACCCCATCGCTAACTGTCGCAGTTCAACCACGTAAACGGCCTCCAACTCATCGCACGCGCCCATCAATTAGTCAACGAAGGCTACAAATACCACTTCAAAGACAAAGACGTCGTCACCGTTTGGTCAGCACCCAACTACTGCTACCGCTGCGGAAACGTCGCCTCCATCATGAACCTAGGCGAGGACCTCAAGCCCGAGTTCCAAATCTTCTCTGCCGTTCCAGATCATAAGCGTGCCGTCCCCGCGGGTCGTGGAGGTCGCGGAGAATACTTCTTGTAGAAGACGCTATACTGGTGTTGTGTGTTTATGGACCGCAGGAAATGAATGATGTGGGTCATTGTGTATATGCGTTCTTACGATACGATGAGAAGCGGAGAATTGAATACCCCTGGGAGACGAACGAACGAATGGTATGTATACAATCTTTGCCTTGACACGGCTTGTACGATATCGCGTTGATGACATTTTCTGGTAGTACAATGGTACAAACACGTTTCGCATGATCTACACAGCTGTGACTGACGAGGTCAGGCTTCTGACACTGATCGGGCCACAATCGGTATCAATTTTGATCCTCTGTAAACCGACGCTAATCTTGAAGGCATGCTTGGGTTTGACATAAACATGGCCCTTGTTCAGGAACGGGAGCTTGGGTAATTCTTTCACCAAGTCTTCCCATAAGATACCCTCCTTACCAACTTTGTCTGCGAACAAGAATCTCGTCTCGCGAAGATAATCCTTCGCGAGGAATACTATCGGAGTTTGATCTTTATGAGCTGGACAAATGACCACTATTTCGGCTGTGTACCCCGCAATCGTGACGCTGAACTGAGCAGCGAGTACCAACTGGCTTACATTCTGGTCCCAGGCCTTTGGAACCAGGAACGTCCTGTCCAGATGATCCCATGCATGCAGCGGGGCCACCGACCGCATTCGTAAATGTTCCTGGACGGGAATATGCAGGCCATCGTGACGGAAAGACACCAGGCGGGTGATTGAGTGTTTGAGGAAGGCATCTGTTGAGAGGTAGACTGAATGCATGAGCTCCCGCGCGGAGTATGTGATGATCTTGTTCGGCAGCCTGGCCAAAGGCAATCCGCCAATACGGCAAAACAGCCCGGGACCGCATTTCCGGAGGAAGATTCCTATACTGCTGTCGTCTTTTTTCGATTCCCCAACTAGAAGGACGTAGTGTTTCGGAATGTCGGTGTAACCGCGCTCACTGTACCAGCCGTATATCTCGAAGTCGCCGCCAAGTAAGAGGCCACGGTTTGTGACAGAAAATTCGGCCAGTTGGTGTTTGTGGGCGCCTGCGCCGGATACATCCTCGAAAGCAGCGGGTGAGCTTGCGAATATCTCAACCAGGTCGTTGTTCTGATACTCCGACATGCTGTTCCAGGCAAAGATGCTGAGGTCGTTGTCGCGCTTGATGATCTCTTCTTGCAGACGTCGGAACGCCTTATTACCCTCGCCGTAGATCAACGGCATGTTAACGTCAAAGATACCAAGAAGGCAGTACGCCATATCTTCTTTCCGTTTTGTCCTCCGTTGCGACGCCCACGACATTCTCGCTGAAACAGATTGCTCGGCTATAATGTCTCTCCGCGCATGCGTCAACACCGACTCGGGTATGTTTGTGAACCTAGATATGGCCGCCGCTTGCTCGTGTTTGGTGCCAACGAACTTCCATCCTTGGGCGTAGAACTCGACGATGCCTGGGGCGAGCAGTTCTTGCAGCGTCCAGCCTCTGGTGAACCATCGGCATTGGGATAGTCCTCCTTTGAGTATTGCGCCTTCGGGGAAGTCTTCGAGATAGGCGTAGCAGACGATGGCTTGTCTGTAGTACTGGAACATGGAATTGATTGACTCTGTTAATTCGGCGCTGCTGGATTTGTCGACTGTGAATGATGATGGGGCTGTTAGCGGATACACAAGGGCACGGCTTGCAGCAAGCCATTTTGTAGCAAGGACGGTTAATCACTCACTATCAACGATCTCGTTAGTTCAGTTTCTATCAAAGGTATCAATGACTTACCTGCAGCACGTATCGACCCAAAAGTATCTTAGATTATTTTTCAAGGCCTGCTCCGCGCAGTAACGAATCTTGCGATGTCCTTCTTTCTGTTCCCCGGTTCCATCTACCATATCGCGATAGCTGACTTCCTCGCTATCTGGGCCCCAGGTATGGGATAGAATAGCGTATGGTGGTATGTCATCTTCGATGAACTCCACGAGGCTGAGGCGTTCATCGTCGGCAATGTGGAGGAGGCGCATTATACAAGAACAAATATGTCAAATCGACATGTATGTGTGAGTAAAGTATGGAATTGAAGTGAGATTGTTGTGAGCTAGTTCAGGAGGTAGAATGAACGAGGAAAGGCGCGCAAGAAGTCGTATTGCGGGTATGCGGCTTGGACGCCTAAAACCAAACCCACTATTCTGTGGCAGTGCTTTCTGGAAACAAGATACCTTATATCTAGGGCAATGCAGAGTCTGTGAGGAGCCTTGGCATGTGTAGCATAGTACATCAAAAAGGAAGGGTCCCGGCAAGTAAGGGGTCCCGTAGGGCCACATACGGCCGCAAAAAAATATCCTGGAGTATCTGACTATAGCCAGACGAATGCTGAACAGAGTGGGACTCGAACCCACGCCACTTTCGTGACCAGGACGTCTATCGCTAGACTTAACGTTAAGAAACCTTAACCTGGCGCCATAACCAGCTCTGTGAAGGTTGTTAGAGTGAATGCATTGAAGATGGAAGTGTTTAGACTAACCGGCCATCTGTCCTTCTCTAGGAATTGATGGAGAGTCGAACAAATACACTGTTTATAGCCTCTTTGAATTGGGGATGGAAAAAAAATTCACTTGAGCGATGCGGGGCAGTTGGGTAATACGGACCACTCCAACGCCGACCTTGAACCAAATGCAACCTAACCACTAAAGGAAGAACACAAAAGCAGCCAAGATCGGCATTGCTACCGAGCCACTTCGTATCAGGAAGAAACTGAACAATCCATGGATGCTTTGCGGTCTATATGGGTCTAAGACCAAAACTGATCAAACCCTGAAACAGTGTAGAATTCCAGGCTGTTTATGTCTGGAATCTGTTGGATCTTTCTCTTGATACAGTTTGCCGCTCTGCAGCAGTAATTGTTCGCTGCATGCTTCCAGGAAGTCTCTGTCACAGCTTACAGAACAGTGGCAAAGTATACCCCAATTCTACTGAATTCCGCACGACATTCCGCGCTTCTACGACGAAGAAGAAGGGCGACTACGGTCTCGCAGCTACACCTCACACAAGGAAGAACCCTGGGAGTGAACAGGTGCCCTGCCGTCTACATCTGTGGAAGGAACGAAAGTCAGCCGACCTCCAGACCAACGTAGACATAAACTTGTCTTCTTGAACAGGCGCTCAACATCACCTCAAACGGAGAGGCTGGACGCAGTGCGCTGGTTAGTTGGCAAAGCAGGATATTTTCGGGGCTTCTGTGAAATCTTGGCTTACGCATGTGCGCAAATGCGCATGTGCGCAACGTAATCGACGGTGAATATCCCCTTCCCAATGCAGTATTTTCGGCATCGGTCCGTCATCTCTCGGCCACATCTCACAATAAGCCCTTGAATCAATACGTTCGTTGTGATATCTTAGTGTGGTGCATGGGCGGGACGGCCATCGCATCTTCCCCCCGCGATACGCGTACTGCCTGCACATGTCAGCACGGATGCAGCAGCCACATTGCTGCGCCTCGCGTGACTTCACCGCCCAGCTCCACCACCAGCCTCCCCTGCACCAACCCAGCTAGCATGAGCTCCGTGAAGCATACATCCCCGCATTGAGATGGGCGCGCGCAAATGCAGCCATCGCTTGCGGTAGACCGCCATGACGTATTGGCCCATCTCGTCGCCCTCCGTCTTCGCGGCCACTAAACGTACGGATCCCGGGCGCACGAACACCTCGCACGATGGCGTTGAACACAAGCAATCGGACGGAGCGCCTGAAGGGCCAAACCCTCAATCGCAGGATCAATCTGAACACGAGGCCTCTGCCGATAGTAAGAGTGGGGTAGAAGAAAAGAATGGCGCGCACTCGCCGCAAGAAGGCGCGTCGGTTCAATCAGTAGAGGACGACATACATGGTACCATTATCGCGATCAGAGTGACGAGGAGCGGTCACATGTTTGCGACCCTCACCAGAACCACCCTCACAATCTGGCAGACAAAGGCATGTCCAATTGCTAAACTGGCGCTTCATGTGCTAATTCGTCACAGCCCACGGTAGTTCTAGCTTCTGTACTCCGTTCAGAGCAATCCGTTAGAACATACGGCCCCAACACAGACGTCCTACTCCGCCCCGACTCCCAAATCTTCGTCGTCCAGACCGCGCTCGGCTTCCTCATCACGTACTCGCTCGCGACAGACCATTCATCCCGCATATACCAGGCCCAATTCACCAACACACACGGAGGTCACGCGAGGAAAAGCAGTGCAATCACGGGCTTCAAGATCCAGCGTCAGCATGATGTCAATGCAGGACCTGGAGAGGGCAATGGCCTCAAAGAGCTCAGTCTGCGGTTCCGAATGGTCATACGGGTGGATGCTGGGATAATTCGGGCTCTGGCTCTGGACGACGAGTTGGTCGTGGCCACCGAGAAGCCGGCAGCCGTGCAATGTATTCGTTGGGCGCCGGATAACACTGGAAGCCAGACCAGCACCGAGCTTCTGACCAAGATGACATGGTTAGGGAGCAACGCATCAATGCGAGAAATGGTCCACGATCGACCCATGAATCTGTCGTGTTGGATCACAGGTAACGGTCGAGCCTATGCTGTTCAAAAGGCGGCTAAAAGAGATGCCGCTGTCTCTAGTATCTTCCGTGGCTACGGTTTCCACACACCCAAGACTGATGCCGATTATGGTGTCAAAGCTGCTATCAATGCGAGATTCTCTTTGCTTGCTGTTGGCTGCGCCAGTGGCGAGATCCATGTATACACGGCACGCGACTATACCGGCAACATCCCTCTATCGCATAAACTACGACCGAACGTCACTTCGCCCGGCAAGTTGACTGTATTGACATACTCGCCAGACGGGTACTGTCTGTTCGCTGGCTATGAACACGGTTGGGCTATGTGGAGTGTATACGGAAAGCCCGGGGCCACCAGCTTCACTGCAGAAAGGACGCTTTCCAAGACCAACAACGAAGGGTGGCTTCTCAGTGTCAAAGAGGCTTTCTGGATTGGAGGTGGCGCGGAGCTCTTGATGTTGGGCGACAACGACAACCGTCTCTTTGTCTTGGAGATGGCTCGCAGTGCAGTCACCGGCTGCTTCTCTTCGGCAAATGTGTCACGGTCTTTGATGCAGACCAGTACCGGCTTCATGATCTACCGTGGTTACGACCTGCCTGACCTGACAACAATCTCCGCTGATGTCTCTCTCTGGCATCATGTTCAAATACCTTCAGCATATCTTGTCGACCAATGGCCGATTAGAAGTGCAGTCATTTCGAATGACGGTCGATATGTGGCAATAGCAGGCAAGAGAGGTCTCGCCCACTACTCCGTTAACAGCGGACGGTGGAAAATGTTCGATGATCCTTTTATAGAAAACGAGTTTACTGTCCGAGGAGGTATGTGCTGGTTCCAGCATGTCTTGATCGCGGCTGTCGAATGCCGCGAGTCTCACGAAGTATGTACATCAAAGCGCTCGGTTTGATTTATACTGATCCACTTGTCAAGGTCCGGGTATATTCGCGCGAGGCAGCTCTTGACAACAGCCATGTCATGCATACGCAGAAGCTACCTGCGCCCATCGTACTAATAGCACCCTCCGGCGAAGATTCACTCCTGGTCTACACGTACGAGAATATATTATACCACTACGTAATCAGTGTGTCCGACGCAAGTGTAAAATTGGTGCAAGTGGGTCAAATCGCCCTGCATGGCATCATTCGGGCACCTACACGAGTGCGAGCACTAAGCTGGATATTGCCCGAAGACCAAATACGTACGTCTTTCGGGACCTGCAGCACTGCAGTTGCTGACACTTTCTAGATAACGGTGATCCAACACAGGACGTGGCGGTCGCGACTATCCTGTTCCTCGTAGATGGTAAACTTGTGCTCTTGCAGCCAACGACTACCGAGAGTGGCGAACTCAAATACGAGATGCGCATCATCGCGCAGAACGTGGAGACGTACGCTCTTATGCGCGATCACCCTGCGTTCGCATTGGACCGACATGCCGATTCGTTGCCGGCGAGCCCCTCTATGGAACTGACCATGGAGGGTGTACACGGCCACGATTTACGTGACTCATTGTGGTTCTTCGATGGTAACGACATGCGAGTTTGGATAGACATGCAAGACGTCCTTGCTTCCGCGTCACCAGAGATCGGCAGGGAACTGCCCACGCCTGTTCAAATCCCCGTCGACTTCTATCCTCTTTCGGCATTGATTAACAAAGCAATCATATTCGGGGTGGAGTCAGAGTTGATTCAACGCAGGGATACGAGCTTCGCGTTCTTGCGCTTCGGAACCAGGGTAAGTCTCTGCGCTCTGCTCCCGCGTCATTGGTGGTACACTGATCTCATGCTGACACACATGCTAGACACACCTCTTTCTCCCCGCATTGCTGCGGTGTCACCTGGCGCAGTTCAATCACCCTGCAGCCTTGCATCTTAGCCACCATTACCAGCATTTGCTATATTTCCCCCATGCTTTGGAGATCTTACTGCATGAAGTCTTGGACGAAGAAGTGGATACGCAGCCACCACCCGAACAGGCGCTATTGCCGAGCGTGCTATCATTCCTGAGCTCCTTTCCCCGATATCTCGACATTGTTGTGCAATGTACCCGTAAAACTGAGGTCCGTTCATGGCGGACATTATTCTCGAACCTGCCTCCACCGGAAGAACTATTCGAAGAATCGCTACAGAAAGGGAATCTTAAGACTGCAGGTGGCTATCTCCTTGTTCTTCACACTTTCGAAGAACTGCGACCAACAGGCGATCAAGTCGTGCGCTTACTTCAACGCGCCAAAGACGAACAGGATTGGGAGCTATGCAAAGAACTCGCGCGATTTCTCATGGCTCTTGATGAATCTGGCGCAACACTCCGAAGTACGTTGGAGCTTGTTGAGCTGAAGACACCATCAGCGGAACCAGTCCATGGCCAGTCGCATTTTACGTTCGAAACCGCACGGCTAAATGTACCGCTGCGGGGACGAAACAATGGGCTCAGAGCATTGAACGGCACAGGCAGTCATTTTGGGGCCGATGGTACTGGTATGATGGCGCGAGAGAGTGGTGACATTAGCCCCGGTGGGAGCGACGTAAGTGCTGGTAGCGATACACGTCCGTCACAAACACCCGGTGATTATTTCGGCCTCGGGCTGAACAACATGCGTCAGTAGTAGTAATAACCAGATTATCTCATGGATTGTATCATTGGTGCAGCTATGTACATCTTTGCGAGCGGCCCGTGTATTCAAACCCACGATACTCACAATAATGATGTATGGCGTCGCATCACGAGACTCGCAGTAATGGTTCGGCCGACGTCGCTACCTAGGTACCGCTGAACACACATTGACCACCACTCGAACAATTAAACAGCCACCTGGTGATGTTAGGCGATCTGGGTACTCGGGGTGCCGTGTGCTATCGATGGTCCTAAAATATGGGTCTGGCTTTGCTCTCTCCAATGAGCAGCAATGCAGGGTCGTATCGACCCCACAGGGCTGCTTATCCAACCTCACGGTAGGAAGAGGAGTATACCTCGCGATTGGTGAGCTCGACCAGTCTGCCCTCTTCTACCGCGTCTTGACGGGATCCCGAGGCACGGCGCACCCACGTAGCTGGTCAACTGGTAAGCGAACGTTTAGATTGCGGTCGTATCTGTGTGCTCCGTCTAACGTAGTATCGCCTGATGTCTCGTGTCGTGTGTAGCGGAGAGGTACGTAGTTGAGCCAAGGGTTCCATGGGACGAAATGGCTTGGTAAAGACATCTACGTCCGCCGCTCGACCAAACTTTGTGTCTAGATAAGATAGCAGGGTTGGCATGCGCTCGGGGGATGCGGTGGCATCTATCGGGCGGTGAGACGCGCTGGGCCTCTACAGCGTCTTCAGGGCTTGGAGGTCAGCTTTCGCACGTGCGAAGCAACGTCCAATGAAGGGCCTGGTCTCCTCACGAGGCAATCGATGTGGGTGAAGTCCCTCACAGAGATTGTAGAAGGACTGAGAGGATACAGCCTCGTGATTCTGCTCACAGTGGCAACGCGCGCATTGCACCAAGCCCATTCCATCCAACATGGCAAACTGCTCCAAAGTTTTGACGGATCCCCGAAAGCCCTACTTACTCGTGCTGCGTCTAAGACGGGTCCCGCGCTAAAGCGAGCACCAGTGCAATGGGTCGGCGTTCAGGCAACCAACTATGCCTCCTCCCCGGCGCGCAGGCCTCTCGTTCACTCGTCGCAACAAGCATTAAGGACTCAGCCACGACTGCCTTCACCGTATACTCATCCCAGCACCAGCACGTTGCTGCGCATACTCAACACACGCTTTATGACGCACAATTGCCTGCTTTCCGCTTCATCTGTTGCACAAAGCTTTGTATGGCTGGAATTGCGCCCTTTCTGGAAATATTCACGGGCGGCAAGGCACACTGTCACCAGCCGCGTATATATACTTCTGGCCCCATTGCTTTCAGCCTTACCCGATACCGATCGATCCTTCGTCTTCTGTTGCTCAGATTCCATCTAAATCGTTAACATCTGCCATAGGAATGACCCACACATTCCGATCACCGAATCGAACATCATCGCGCTTGCCAATTATCCTTGAGTACTATCGGGCTAGTCGACAACAATGACTGCCCCTCCAGCCGCACGACCGCTCTTCTCCGCCCATCACATGCCATTTGTCTATCCTTCACCACCCTCGACGATCGCATCGGACTCAAGCTTCTATGGAAATGTCATGTCGCCTCCGCAGCAACTCAATGGTGAGCGTGCCTTTTCGTATCATTGAACGGACTTGATGCGCGTACCACATGCGGAAGGCGCTCTCGCTACGGCCGAGGTCCACTGCTTGCGCATGCTGCACCTACACGGTGTGTAACACGATCACCAACATCAGCAGAACCCCTGATCGCCATCCCCAGCTCACTCAGTGGTGCCAATCGCTAATATCCAGTAGAATTCATGCCGCCTCGGAAGTCGAGCTCTTCGCCAACGGCGAAGTCACCTGACAATGCGAGCTTCCGATGGATTACCGCCACCAAACCCAGCGATTTCAAATCAAAGGCCACCATGCAAACCGTACGCCAAACTGCGATGGGAAGCTATTTAAAGGCAACAAAGAATCAGACCGGCGACAAAGTCAGGGCCAATAGCGAAGCCTCGGATCATTCGCGATCGAGCTTAGGTTCCCAAAGCACCACGAAACCACGAACAATCAAAACGCCGAGAGTCAAAGAGAAGAAGAGTGATGATAACATACATCGGTTATCGCAGTCTACAAACAGCAGCCAGGAGGCTCCCCATCATGATGCTCAGGTAGCACGAATTACGCCTCACCAATCGACCCTCACCCAGACACCCATTGTTATTCCAATAAGAAGTGGCCATCGGTATCCATTCGACCTAAAACCAGTACCAGATCTGAGATGTCTTGGGAATGGGCTAGACCCGTTCGGAACTATGTTTCAATCGAGGAACACTCGCGTGAACGTCGAGAGGCTGAAGATCGAATGCTCCAAATACTTCGGCACGGAGGGTCTGGGTAGGTACTGGATCCCCGAATGTCTGAGCTATGCACACACCTTCCTCAGCACCCTCTACATGGCTTCCGCATACGATGATGTCGTTCACAATCGAGAGATAGAGAGTTTGGAAACCGCAGCACTGCGCCAAGATGTCATACATTTCGTAGGTGGTCACCTCACCGACGTGGAGCAGAGTGTGGCGGATCACAACATCATCGCCGTCAGCCAACTCATATTGGGAGATGTCATCAGCCGGTCCGATGCGGATCGACACTTCCACCAAAACGGAATTGCGATGATGATCAAGCAGCGCGGCGGACTCCAAAACTTGGGTGTTAACGGCCAGCTAGCATCTGCAGTCTCCTGGGCAAATCTTGCGACTGCGGCTTTGCTGGAAGCTTCGCCGACTCAGATGTACGTTGACCACTGTAAACTGCGGGCGGTAAAGGCATATCCATTGATCGCTACGATACCGGAATCGCCCCTCTACCAGCCACACAAAAGATTCGTGACAATCGAGAGGTCGCAACGCTGTAATGCAAACGCGCAAAGACTTCTGGTCGAAATCCACGCAATGACGGAATTCTTTCTCGACACCAATAGCTCGAAACGTACAGGCAACTCCAATAAGATTCAAGCCGTCTACGACCGTATCGTTCGATGTCGATTTGCACAGCAACCTCACAAAACATCCCTTACAAAAAAGAGCGACTGGAAGTGTGAGGCAATTCGACTCGCCGCAATCGTTCAGGCGCAGGCTATGTTCGATCAAGTTCCCCTATCAGAAGCGCTCAACCTTGTGCAGGTACCGGAAATGCGGCCGCTTATGTACAGCTCGTCCACAGCCTCACACTCTAATGGCACCATTTCCTCCACTCTGGAACCTCTGGACGTCAGTCCGGCTACTGACTTTTCCGAGAGTCCAATGTTTGGTTCATTCAGCGAAGGCTTCCCTTTCGACAGCCACCGTCCTTCAAATGCGTCCACATGCTCACGACCCTCACTTTCGACGTTGCAGTCAAGCTCATCGGATATCCCTCTCCAGCAACAACTGTTTACACGGACAGTCAGCGGAGACACCATCCTCCAACAACTACGAGACGCCCTCGAGAACTCAGACCTTTCAGACTGTTGGTCCGATATGGCCGGAGTGCTGCTGTGGATTGGCTTGGTCATGGGAGCCGCGAGTAACAACAGCAAAGACAAGAAGTTGCGAAGATACTTCTCTGCAACGACGATGCGCGCATGCATCATGTTATGCTTTGAGCATCCTGAAGCGATTCATTCCACGATGCTGAGAATGACTGATCTTGTCGCAGCCTTAGGCAGAAAGTCTAATGAGGGACAAATGATAAGAAACGACAGCTTCGTGTCGAGGAAGCGATCGAAAAATTGAAGAATCACCATATGCACAACTCAAAGGGAACGACGTTGCGACAAGCTTTCTCCACAGTGGCGATGTCTTCGGCGTCTCCGAATGCTCCACCTCGAATTGGTATCCGTGCCCATATAGGGCTGTAGGGCTTAGGCTCAGGGCTGACAAGGCTGCGCCTTGCTCTTCTACTATCTCGAAAACATTCGTGGGCATCTAGGCGTGACATCTACTTTCTTCGTACGGATGTATATAGTTTCACATTTACTGTACGATATCATTGTAAGGCGTTTTCGGAGTTTTTTTATTTACTTTGGTGGTTAAGGTGGCGACAGACATCTCTTTTCAGATACACTCTCATTAATCATCACTTGTCACTTATCACTTCGGGCACACTGATGGCTTATGCTTATGCTTGTGTGACTTGATGATTCATAATATGCCTACTACCAAAATCCGAGGCCTAGCTCTCAAAGGTTCATGCCTTCATGCCTTCATCCGTCATAAGCGTGCATTCATACGCCTGCGATTGTGCCATCCGACACCCGCTTAACCCTTGGTAACTTTGTTGATGGTACCGTCCTTATCGAGGTGAACATTCAGCCTCTCGGGCTGGAAGTCCATGGTCTTCATATCGCCTTCGTTGAGAACACGGTGTTGCTGGGGAAGGTCGGTCTTTGCGAAAGTCTAAGGATAGCATTGAGTTAGCGTTGAGACTCAGGCGGAGCGGAGGGATAGGATAAGGGGATAAGTAATAGTAAGAGGCAACTCACCATCTCATCATGCTGGTCTCCAAGCTTCTTGCCCATGAGCTTGCTCATCCAGTCATCGTTGGAGTTTCCGTCCTTGGACTGCAGACCGGGGACTACGAGAGGCATGTTGTGCGGTGGTGTTCGGGTGTTGTAGAGTCTGTGTGGATGTACGTGTCTGCTCGCGCGGAGGTTCGAGAGTCGTCTTATCGTGGAGGTTGTTGTAGTGTTTGGATTGTTTTGTAGTGTTGGATAGTGGGGTAGAGGGGACGCAGTACTTATGCAAGTAGACCCTGGCTGGCACTTGCGTGAACTAACTTGTTTGTTTGGGCTTTAGGGGTCACCAGGCAGCAAGATGGGCTATGGTGAGTGCTTGGAGGGGAGGGTGACGTCACCCGTGTCTAGCCGCGTAAGTGGGGTTGTTTGGGGTTGATAGAACGCGGGATTGGCATGTGTTAGACTGCGCTGGTTTCGGGATGCGATATTCATTTCGTGGGGGATAGCGCAAGCCTTTAGAGAAGCTGTTCGAACTTTTGCGCGCGTAGACTCTGGCCGAATTTGACGTTAATGGAACCCTTTTACTGGCAGCTCTCCAGGGCTACGTTTATGAACCGTGCTGATCTCATGTATTTCCACAACGACAGTAATAATATCATGTAACTAAGCTCGCATATGATCAGAGAGTAGAGCAATACTCTCAAAAGTAACAAAATGGATAGCACGATGGGTTGAAGAATGTGATTTGACCCTGCCTTGCTTTGTAGCAAGCGGGTACAGGATACGTGATCTACGCTACAAGATTCCTTCCGGCTCTTGAATGGTGGAAGTAGTTCAAAGACTATACGGGTTGACGACGAGTCTAGTCATCACTTATTTGCCGTCGCGCATGTTGCGGAAGAAGTCCATGACACCGGTGAAGACGACCAGCAAGATACCACCTCCAGGTCCCAATCTCAGGACCTTGGGTGTGAATCCCTTGTATAGTGCCGCGAAGCCCTCCTCCTTCATGACCGTACCGAGAGCCGGCCATGCCCAGTTGTACTTGGGGATTGATCCTGCGACCTTGGGAGAGTTCTGAATACGCGACTTGACAACGTCCATGGGAGTGTTTAGGATAGTGCCGACCGTGCCACCGATAGCACCAGACATGAGGTCGTTGGTGATTTGGCTCTTTTTGGTGGTTGCTGCGGGCAGGAGAGCGCGGACCTGGAAGATGCAGCCAAAGTATCCAGCGTTCCACAGGATGTGCCTCCACATGGTCGACTCAAGACCCTGGTAAAGGGTGAGCGGCCCTTCCTGCTTGACGATCTTGGTGACGCAGTCCACCATGCCGTTGTACTTGTGGGCTTGCGCCCTGTCTTGTAACCGGATCTTGACGAGCTCGAAGGGTACGACGACGAAGGCTTCGGTGGCACCTGCGGTTGCGCCAGTGAGGATGGAGAGCGACTGGTTCATTTTGGCCTGACCGAACAGATTGCGGTAGAAAGAACCCCATGAGTCGTTGGCTGCGAACTTGGTGGCCCTGTGTCGCGTGAGATGAGATTCTTCACTCTTGCAATCGAAATAGTATGAGAGAGCGCGTACCTCTTGGGAGCTTCCATAAGGATAGGCGCGGTGATACCGCGGTACAATCTCGACGCACTGGCAGATGTCAACCCCTCTTGCTCATGATCGCAGGAGCGTCATAGCGTACCCCTCATTCTTGATGATCTTCCTGAAGCAGTCCATCATGCCATTGTAGCCCTCATCACCGACCACCTTGCCAGAGGTCTGAAGTTGTCTGTATATGTTTAGAGGCGGTCCAGAGGTGGTGTCATACGCGGTCGCTTACATTCGGGTCTTGACGACGTCCAGCGGGTACCTGGAGATAGTGTTAGTGCTTGAGTCTCGACTGTGTGGGTGCAGGATGGTACGTACATGATCAGAATCTATAGATAGAGCTACATTAGCACAGTTCATCTCACGCGAGCTGCATAGACAGTTGCGCACTCACTTCTGACACACCAGCCACGGCACCTGGACATTGTTAGTACTGATTGACATAGCTGAAGCTCAACTGGCACGCAGGAATGCTGTGTGCGATAATCGGAGAGAAGCGCGTATAGATTTCTTGCTTGGTGCGGAGCCGGATTTCTCTCGGGCAGCTGTCGCATCGGAGCTGAGCGGTGTTAAGGAAATTGGAACTTACCAGCCGCGAACTGGTAGACGAAAGGCAATGGCTTCGCATCGGCAGCAGACATGTTGGCGGTTGTGGTGGGAAGATATGAGATGGCCGAGGGTGAGAGAAGAGAGATGGCCGCGGTTGAGTGAGCGGTTCACGGTCGGCGCGCACAATCTGGGGAAAGAGTGCTAGAGCGTGGGATGAAAGTCCAAACTCCGCTTAGGCGTGGTCCTAGCTTCCCGTCATCGGTTGACACCATTTCGATTGGCGCAAAAGCGACTATCTAACCCGTCCCTGCCTCTAGACATGTCTTGCTACTTTTGTGATACGCGGAGCTACCTGCGATACGCCAAGTCGTGTCAATTCCGTGACTGTATCAATTAGGATATCCGAGGACTACGACGGAAGCTTGCACATGCCAGTCGGCCTAGACCGGGACTGTCTACAATCCTCCATGTTTAACGTAGTCTCCAATCGAACAGCCTAAATTTAATCGTGTCTGCATGTCCCATAGATGGAAAGAGTGGTTCAGGCCAGCGCAGGTCCCCGCACTCGGAGCTGTGTCGCACATCGGCTCGCAGCAACCGGCCCGAGCGCGTATCGCCACGAGCTCCCGCCTCGCCCAACGTGATTGGCCACTCACGACGCGTCTCTCGCGTTCGGTGCTTTCAAGACGCTGACGCTACCAACCATCTCCATGTCCACGCGACAGAGGTCCTTCTTTGACCAGAACCCGAAGCCAAAGGTACTTGGATAGCCCGCTGCCTTTACTGCCGGCGTCTACTCACCTCTCACCCTCGCAGCAGCAGTTCAAGGGCCAATGGAACCGCCCACGCAACTTCCCCCACCAAAACAGTAACCAGGCGGCGCCGCAGGCTCGGCACGTAGTTACTGGTCCTCCCATCATGCCTTCGACCCAGACACGCACCAAGCTCAAAGCTTTCCAATTCATCGAGGGCGCGCCCACTGCCGAGTCCCTCCGCCAGCGCGAGGCTGAGAAAGAAAACCTGCCCACGGCGCGAAGAAAGACAGCCAAGCCCATGGGCACACCAAAGGCGAACCGGGTCGCGAAAGATGTGGGAGCCACTAACAAGACTCCGAAGCTGCCTACCATCCTCGACTGTCCGCCGCCATCAACTCCCGCCACCACGAGGCTGCCGCTTGCGGACCTAGTGGGCAACGTCGACGATTCCTCGAGACACGCGCCGCAACCCGTCGCCTCGCCCGAAGAGACGTTGATATGGAGGGGCTCGCAAGCAGTCAACACGCCTTTGCCCCGGAAGAACAAGAAGCGCGCTAGGAGCTCGTCGCCTGTCGGACCGTCGCAAGACGAACACAGACTGGATGGCGCCAGGCAAGACATCACAACACCCCAGGCCGACCCTGCTATGGAGCTGTGGTCACGATACACAAACAACAAGGGAACACCAAGCGCCAACAAGAGCGTGGCGTTCGCACATCTCATCAACGAATCCTCACCCAGGTCGATGGCTGCTGCTGGAAGTGTCAGTGGACTTCGAAGATGGGCAAGCTGTGGCGTAGAGTTCCCAGCATCGACCCGGAAGAAACGGAGAACCCACGGTGTGTTTCAGCCGGAGCAGGAAGCTACAGAGGACGTTTTCGCTGGCGCATCTAGTTCGGATGGGATAATGCTTGGACAACCCGCGAAACCCAACATCGCGAGCATGGTCCAGCGCATGCGGGAATGCGTGTCAAAGTCACAGCCGCGCATATCGTCACAGATGCCCTCGAGCTCGTCCCCATTGCCTGGGGCCGGCGATCGTCAGGACGAATCGTCGGGATCCCCTCTTCAGCGGCGTGCGCGCGATTATCACGCAGAAACCTCCGAAACGATACGCCACGAGTCGGCACCTCTAGAAGATACCGTGGACATGGATGACGAGCTTGTTCAAGAAGACGATTACGTGGAAGCGGCTCCGAAGCCACCGTCATCGCAGGGATCCTCAGATGATTTCGGAGACGACTTCGACGCTGACATGGTGGAAGCTTTGGATATCACGCCTCGATCTGTGCAACCTCCACCGCCCACGAAGTCCGCGCCACCGGCACGCTCCACGAGCTACGTTACCATACCCACCGAGCCCATCTATCCG